CCCATGACTGAAGCCCCTTCCAGTGTTACTGACAGTGGAAGGCAAAGGTTACTGAGTAACAAATGCAAAGACTTAACAAGATTATTAGAGCAAGGGCTTCACTTAGCCAGTCTGTTTAAACTCAGGATTTCAGAGTGTGTATATTTCTTCCTTTTGTAGATTTTGCGAAAAAGGCCTAAATCACTCTGGGTACATAAATCATCAGGGCAATTCTTTCTAATGTTGTACCTCGTGCACTGGATGCCTTTGGAGTCCTGTGAGATGTCCAGGCAGACTGCTCACCCCACCCGACACTGGTGGCAGCAACAATGCGCAAGAGGTAGATCATATCAGGCTGCAGGTTTTCCAGGAGATAGTTGGTCTTCTCTCCAGTCAGCTCTATCTGTGAAACCGTACTTTCAGCACTGGTGCGATAGGACAATCGATAGCCAGAAACTCGGCCACGACTCAGCTTGTCTGGAAGAGGCTGCCATGAAACTTGGATGTCTGTCGGGCTGCGACTAGTGAGGCTGATTTCAGGGGCACGAAGTGGAACTGGAGAAAAAAGAAAGGATTAATAAGACTGGGGGAGATGTTTCAATTATAAATCTGTGACATCCATGCTTTTCTGGTAAATACATCTACATAAATCTGAATGCACACTGACTCTGCTGAACACTGCAGCTATGTGACAGCAACTGTATAAATGATCTGCTAAATCCTCAGGCTGGTCCTCAAAGTACACAAGCCTAAGTAATGCCATTAAATAACTGCAGTCATGTAGAACAGACAAGTGTCAGCCTTTGACCTGAAGGCCAAACACATACAGACAGTGTATTAACACATGCAGACACACACACACACACACACACACACACACACAAGAAAGTGGTACACACTGTGCAAACAAATTTGATTCTTATGTCAACATGACACCCAGTTCACTGCAGGTAAAACATCTTGTAAACAAACCCCAAAGACTATTAAGAACAGTCAAGAATTAAGAATAGAATTTGTACTTTGTGTTCTACTGTTGGAACCAATGATTTTTTAAAGATCACTGTTAAGACTGGTGTTCCTCACCATCTTCCAGCGTCTGCTGAAACACATGGTCCGACATTCGACTGGCTCCCATGGGCATGTAGGCCACAACATAGAAGGTGTAATTGTGAGCCGGCTCCAGGTCATCAATAATGTAGCGAGTTGTATCATTTCCAATGACAATTTGATATTCTTCATTGTTTAATCCTGCACAGATAACAACATGCAAAAAACAAATTTATAAATGATCATTCACTTTCAATAAATCAAGCAGCACAAACATGTCCCCTCAATGAGAATGATATTTAATATTATTCCTTTAAAATGTAGTTTAAAAGTTGCTTCTAAAACATTTGTTATGGTTTTGCCAGCAAATAAACCTGGTCGTATCTATTGCCTTGTTTAGACTTCATCTTTCTTACACTTAAGATAAGATATGTTATACATTTTGCTTTTCTTTTCATTTTCTGTGTAATGTCAAAGAGAAACATGCTTTTTCAGTCAATGAACAGTTCATTTGTTCCTAATTCTTGCTCTTCTACAGAAAATGTTCTCTTATGGACAATCCTTATTCGAGCCCTAATTAGTTTGTCCTTTTGTTAGGGGCTCCATTCATTCCCAAACCTCCCAGTCTCCAGCATCAGGTGAAGAGTGTACTGCCAGACACTCCGTCAAAGTCAATAGTCACTTTTTGTCTACAGGCATAAGAGCTTGTTAAATTAAGTGAAGGAAATCCTTGACATGCACTGCTTGATCATGAATAACACACAGAAAGTAAACTTATTCAACCCGTTCTTTTTCATTCAGACTTTTTATTTCCAACCAAGTAGAGCAGGTGTTTTATAGGGTTATTTTGTGGACCCCACCTCCCCGATGGAAGTCAATAGTCTATAATGAATTGCAAAACTTGAATGCAGAGTACTATGAACCCCAAAGTTTTCTTTCTGGAAATCTCGTATTGTTTAGATGTGACTCCTGTCAGTAGCAAATGTTCCCAAAGTAGTTGAGAGACATTCAAGCTTCTCTGCTGCCACTGTAGAACCCTTGTGCCTTTGGTATATGGGTTTTATATGCATCTTAGTAACTCAAAGAAAAGAACACTGTTTCCTGAAAGTCCACAGGCTCCAGGTCTATGGGTGCCTTATTCATGCTAGCAAAAATAAAAGAACCACACAGAAATGACCACACATTATACTGTAGAAACAGTTTCCCTTTAAGATCTAGGGGTTTTGTACATATTGCTCACCTTCAGCTTTCATGTAGTGCACAGAATAAGCAATAACTTTATCAGAGTTATAAAGAGGCCTCTCCCAAGTCAGAAGAATGGCAGTGCTTGACACGGTGTCAGCATGGATATTCCTTGGTGCACTTGGTCGATCCTCTGACATCACCACAATAAGTCTTGCCATAGACAGCACTGATCCCAGCTCATTCTCTGCCTGGCACTGATAAATGGCATCATCTTCTGGTATGATCTGGTTGATGACCAGTTTGCTGAAGGAGAAACAACCACAAACACAAAAGTCTTCACCCTGAGCCTCCTTAACTGGTGTGTTTTTCCCCCATGATTACCTTTAACAAGCACTGATGGTTGAATAAGGAACAGAGACAAACTAAAGCCACTAAAACCCATTTGCACATCTCTGAATTATTTAGTTTCCTTTCTACTGTGGGGGACAGTAGTTAAATATTTATTCAAACAGTTTTGAACTAGCCCACAAAGACTGCTAAATGAGTGTCAGATGATTAAAGGAGTTAGCGTTCATGTTAATTGTCTCTGCAAAGACAACGCAATTTTTTTGGATTTACCAGATAATAGAAATAACTTGATAAACATAAAAAAAGTGATTATACCTGTTGTACATCTTGATTCGACCATTTGAGTGAACCTTTTCGCCATTTTTGAGCCATGTGATTTGAGGTGTTGGAACTCCTTCAGCCTGGCACACAAAGCGGGCTGTGCCTGCACGTGGACGGGTCAGACTCTCCGGCCACTCCACCAGAGAGGGGGGAGCTTTGAAAGAACACATTTGTAACATATGTTTACACTTTTGACTAAAGAATCCATACAGCCAAAGAACATTTGCATCTTGAGTATCTTTACCTAACACAGTGATGTTGGCAGAGGCAACCGTGTAGTTGCGAGTACCCGGTGTGGTGGCTCTGCACATATAAACTCCGCCATGTTGGGGTTTGATGTCTGAGATGATGAGGTTGCCGTTTCCTAACACTTTAGTGTTGTAAACGTCAATAGACTTGCTGTCTGCTCGGCTCCAGGAGATGATGGGCCGGGGTTTGCCTGTGGCCATGCACTCAAGAATGGCACTGTGGTGCAGGGACACTGAAATGTTCTGTGGCCCAGCAATGATGCGTGGCCTGTGTGGAAGAAGGGGGTTGGGGGCTGCAGAGAAAATGAAATCAATGCAAATTATTTATTTTTTATAATTATATAGGATTTTTCCAAAAATGTATATATTTTATAATTTGTTTTATTAAGAACATGATAGCATGCAGCACGGTTTACCTTACCAGTCTCCAGCTAACTCCACTTTTAAGATTAGATTAGACTGAACTTTATTAATCCCTCCAAGTTTACAGCAGACAATGGATGAAGCAGAGGTTGGTGAAATACCTGGTGTGACAGTTAAAGTGGCCTCTGTGCTTCTGCGTCGGCTGGCAATGTTAGTGGCAATGCAGCGGTAATTTCCAGCATCACCCCGCTGAACTCCCTGTATCTGAAGAACTCCACTGGGCAGAACGGTGATTCTGGTTTATAAAATAAAAGTAAGTGAGTAAGTAATACAAAATAATTCATAATCAATGTCCAAAAGTTAAGGTAGAAGCATACCGTTCAGTGGCCAAGGGTAATGTGACTCGATTGAGCTCCCAAGTGATGATGGGAGGAGGATGGGCAGTGACTTTACAGGAAAACCTGGCTACTGAGCCTTCAGTCACCACTATGGATGTCGGCTGGATTGCAAAAGAGGAAATACCTGCAGGTAAATCAGAAAAATTAAATTTTTTGATAAACACTTACTAAAGTCAGTTTTTATGTCTCCAGTGTGTTGCAATACACAGTACAAAATAGTACAAAATTCAGAACAGTAAATGTGTCAATAGCTTCAGCTATAGCTTTTATTAGGCTAAACACTCATTACAGGTGAAAGAACATTTATGTGATTGTTATCAGAGTTTTGGGGCTACTAATATTTAGGAAAAACTTCCTTGAGGTGCAAAAAGGTGTCACTTTAAATGGTTTATTATAAACACATTTTGTGAACATCTTTCCAGCCTCCAATCCAGTGCATTTCGAAAACAGAGATGCCTATTACAGAGCTGCAGACCTGCTGAGTGCCACGAGAAGGTGATGACTGGAGTGGAACAGCTACATCCTGCGTGGATAAGGTTTCCTTGAAACTGAGCTGTTGTCAACCACTAGCTGACATTACTGAACAAATCAGGTACTGCATGAACAACATAGTCTTTTATAGATGAAGAAACAGGCAAAGAAGTGGACTGCATTGTTTGATTGCATGATAAGAGTTTTTCCACACTTTCTGTTAATATCTGCCTAGGTTGAAAGTGGTTCACAGTGAGACAGTGGGAGCTGTAGGGCTATAAAGGTCATACACTGATGCCCCATCCCCCTGTGCTGGACTCAAAACCTAGAAAAAGCCTGAGATCAATCACTGGATGAAAGAAATCAATGGAGCTGCTTTTCTGGTAGAGAGAAAACTAAAAGTACACACGCCAGAAAAAGAATAACTGAAAATAATTTCTAATAAAATTAGAAAAATCAACTTCAACAAGGTTTCACAAACTCCAGAAGAATAAAGCAGTAAAACATTGTGTTCAACCAAAAATAATTTCTTCAATGTAATACCTCTACGACAACTGTGTTTTAACCCTGTCTGTGTTAGTTACAGAAACCAACAACAACAAAGTTGAATGCATACAAAGGAAAATCATTTGAGCTGTTTAACTGATCAGAACACATCTGAACAATTGAACATCCTGACACACACACCATTCTGCTGTGGTGGAAATCTTTGCTGTCCTGTCATAGATGCACAGTGGTGTTTATGAGGAAGTGGTGTCATCAGGAGCGGATATGGAAACTAGTGCCCCCTGTTCCCCAGAAATAAAATGTATGTTTTATTTGCATATTATTTAGTCAAAACCAGAAGGTTATTTAACAAAATTAGTAAGGCTTACTTGGAGCACTAACTCACAGCTAACTAACCATCTCCTGTAGGTATGTTTGGGTGGTCTTGTAGAATGTTACAAATGTGATGTTTATATTTAGAACCCTGGTGTCATTATCCATTTACACCAAATTATGCAAATTGCATGCACTAAAAAAAAGAACAGACAGGATAACGCAGCAAGCAAGCAAACAAAACTATGTTTAGCAAAACACACACACACACACACACACACCGAACCGGGGTTAACAGGGAGTGTGTAATAAAAACCATTCCATGCTGGGGTGATGTGACTGCAGGGCATCAGAGAGATGAGCAGCAATGATCCCTTGCCTCCCTTGCTTTGCTTTTCCATTTAGTCAAATAATGCTGGATTGACAAACTGTGGTATAATTATTGATTATTGATTAATTACTAAAAAAGGTGAAAATCCATAACTGCAATGGCCAGATCGCTGCTGGCTGAAATTAGACAGCTGACCTTCTACTCTGTGATGATATTTGCCATTGGACCTTTAATCAGTGTGGAGCAGTGTGTTAGTATACAGTTACTAATTCTGCTTGTAATATTTTAATAACATTCTAATATTGTATATTGTAATAATTAGCTGCTTAAAATGGGAAACAATGTCATAATTTAGTAAAAGACTGTTGCTGAATTTACACATACATTTGGAAAGGCATGGTTTATATTTACAGGTTATCTGGACAGGCTAACACATTATAAACACCTCAACCTTTTCCCCAAAAGCACGAAGGAACTGTTCTGACCATCTGCTCTCCCCCTCCTTGTGTCGCCCTTTACTTCTGACCTCCGCAAATCCTGAACAGAAGCTCAGGAAGAGCTCTGCATGACCACCCAAAAACAGCACTGCTGCCCCGTGAACTTAGAGAGTCTCTCACATTATCTCCCAAATGTTTCTAACAGTGCTAGCGAATAACATTCACTGCTCTGTCGTTGACATCATGAAATCAAAGCTCACAGTGAGAACAGTGTAAGTTATGTTAGCCACTTCAGCTGCAAGCGTCTTCTTTCTTGTTTGGCTTTTAATGTGTATTAACATTGTAGCATCCTTCATCAGTGAGTCACTGAAAGTGACTTTCAATTCATAAAAACACCTAAACCAAAAGTGAGTTCCTCTAGCTTGTAACAGATGGGCATACTGATACCAGCAGCTCGGCAAACTGAAGGTCAGTGGACAGGTCAGGCCCAAACAAAGGTTTCCTTACAAATGCCAAGAATTAGTTGAGCCTCGCTCCTCCAGTTACTATGGTCAGTTCCTGAGCCAGAGAAACAACAAAGATGAGCGACGACACCTAAAACATCTATGTTTTTTTGTTGTGAGCTACCACAACTGAAAACTGGTTTTGGAGCTGATGTTTGGCTGAAAGATTAAATACATTGATGTTTATACAGCAAATAGTCCTATGTTTAACATTGTTCTTTTTATTTAAATAATAGGTGTATGCTTTTGCATGAAAATATATCACATTCAACATAACCTGGCTTTAACATGGTGCATGGCAGTGTGTTCAGCCAAAAGCTGTGTGGATGGAACTATTGTCCCACAACCATCTTTAAATCATCCCATCCCTAAGGTGCTGTTTGCTAAGGTAGGCATTAAAATTGATCCCTCCCTTGATCCTGCAGGCAGCGCATTCAATTTATGGTCATTTGTCAGGTGACCCATGAAAGTCCAGAAGATTATCCCGTACTGATGGAAAATATTTATGTAATACAAGAATTGTTCTACCAAAACTGGTTTAAATGATACTTAAATTATAGTAGGTATTTTTAAAAAATCTAAGATTTAAGATTAATAAACAGCTCAGGGGTAAAGAAGGCTGATAAGCAACAAGGAGGAGAAGAATGCAAAGCTGAAAGAGGCCACAAATCAATCACTAGCTGGTTGTCAGATGGGCTGCTACTCCACACAGGTTGCAGGATAGTGAACTGACCACTGCTCTGGCCAAACAAAGAACTATTCCCATGAGCTGGGTGACCTCTCAAAGTGTTGACCGGGTGTTTGGGGCGGGGGTAGAGTTGGAAGGAGCATTTGTCCCCTCCTCCAGTACCTTATCTCTAATACAAAGTTTTCCAATCATTCAACAGCAACTCACCACTCACCTCACACAGTGGCCTCATTGTCTCTAATCTTCAGATCAAAACAAAAAAGTTAAGTAATCAGTTAGAGTAATAATGTTTTTCAATTTAATGGTAATATAACGGTCAAATAGAACATTTGGTGACGATAATGCAAGAAAGCAGAAATTATAGCAGTGCTAAAAACACTCAGGGCTACTGCCACAACTGATAGCACTAGACACGGGCTACACTGAAGTCCATCTATTGAACAATTTAGAGAAACCTTTGACCTTTTGGCCTGCTGTTCAGGGGAACCATGGTAACCTTTCGTGTCCAGCAGAGGAGAAAAACAAGATTCCTGGCTTTGAGCTGTCTCACTCTAGGGCGTTTAATTCAATCACAGCACACACACCGTGAAAGGTTTACTTTTTACTATTGGTGTTTCTTATTGTACCAAGCTGCTGCAAGTGTGACAGATTCCTTGAGAACCTAAAATAAGGCAGGCCCTGAACTGACCATGTGTCAACACAACCCATATGTTAAATACTTAATTTCCATTTTCACTGCAAAATATATGCAAATATTTTTCAATGATTCTTAAATATTTAAATGATTGAATCAAATGTTTTAATTGAGAGTGTACCAGCAATCTGTTAGTTTTAGTTTCTGTTAGTTCTTTTGGAATTATAATGCCACATACAGTATTAGGAATCTTTTGGAATTATAATGCCACATACAGTAATTCACTGTTCAAACCCTGTCATCAGACAGGAAGTGCATGTCTCTTGGCTGATATGAAACTTGTGTCTTTGGTTTTTGCAAGTGGAATTGACAAGTGTTATCAACATTCAGTCAGCAGAAATGTAGCTGTCAGTGGCAGAATGCTGTGTTTGTGTGGTAGAACATCGGAGCTGGGCTACAGGTAAGTTGCCAACATCATGTACAAACAAACAAACAAAAAAAAAGAAAACATGATAAACAAGCTCTGTAATCATCCTGTCTGTTCACATGCATTGGTAAATGAAGCTAATACATACAAGTACAAAGAGAATATGTATCTGCACTGTATTACCATAAACTTGCTATACTTGTGTTGTTTAACATTAAAATAAAGATGGACATAATGAATATATTCTCAATAGTACAGTACTGCAGAAGCTACTTTATTAAATGAAAGGAGCCCATACTGTTGGCATTTCCTCTCCTGGAGCTATAAACATCCCCGTGATGATACCAATTTACTACATTAAGGAGGATTTACAGGGAGAAATTGAACACACTATTCATAAGTATAGTCTAAGAACAACAAATATTTAGATGTTAGTTCTGACTCTTTTCAACAGTCATTTTTTTCCCTTTTTTCAAGACAAAAAACATCCCTGGGAGACAAATGTGGTACCAACATATACAATTCAACTGCAATTTAAAAGCTTCACAAAAATTGAGGATTTGTATTAGATTAACTGTTGAATGAACAAACACACATCTGACATCTCCAACTAAATCAAGGTACTGTAATTGATAAAAGAGAGACCCTCATTAGTTAGGACTCAAAGCTGTTTTTTTCTCCAAAATGTGTCTTAAGCATCAACCTGTAAACTTTAACTATAACTGCTCGAGGGAACTGGTTTGGCCATAGAAATCACTGACACCAGGACAAGCAACTGCCACCAAGACAACTCTTTTCTTTCCTGACCAAGGAGAAGGTGAGGGTGAGGGGAACAAGGGAAGGGGCTGTGTGGACAAAAACAGCCTGAGTGAAAAGCTTTTCACTCTTTCACCAGGGCAGAAAACAATTGTGTGCGAGGCTTCCTGCTCCTTGTGACCTGGTAAGGCCTGCAATAAACTTTGGTCATTTAGACACTAAGTACTGGTACTGGGAAACAGCATTTCACATTTGTGTGTGTGTGTGTGTGTGTGTGTGTGTGTGTGTGTGTGCACACCTCTTGCAACAACCCCAACTGCTACTTCTGTGTCCTACAACGGACCTTTTCCCAGGTATGTGTAAATTTTATGAGCTTCCAGATAGACCCTCAAGCATGTCCAAGTGTCATTTTAAAACAAACTAGTAAACCTTGGCAGCATTTAACACCTCCTACCTCATGTAAAACCGCTAAATCACTCAGCTTATACAAGAAAGTCAATTTGCTTTCCACTTCCAAAAAGTTATATTGGAGGCAACATCCAGTTATAAATTAAGTTACTAATATGACACATAAAAAATGCAATAATATTCCACATGAAATGTCATCAAGCCAAAGCTATTATATATAGCTATATATTATATTATATATTAACAGATATTTCATAGGGTGACATTTAGAATTAAAGAAGTGTCTTTTGAAAATCAATTAAATTAAAATAAAAATGTGCTGAAACTGAAACAATATTTTTATATAACAACAACAAGTTGTAAAATCCTACTTTGGGACAGATGTGAATGCATTGCCCGTGTTAAAAAAGTTACCATGTATTCTGCAGCAAGATGCATGGCCTGTAGGGTAGGAGGAAGCAGTGAAGGAGAATAAGGAGAAGGAGGAGGGGTTTTTTGGTCCCAAAAGACCAACTCTGCCTGAAGCTTCACTACTCCCCCCCTAAAATTCGAGGCCAACTCGCACAGTGCTGCAGGAAAAAGAATTCCAAAAGAACAATTCCTCAAGCGATCAGGGTGCAATAACTTGAAAGCCCTGGCCTGTGAATGGGGTCATCTGCTCTTTTGCACTGAAGAGACATATCCTGGACAGCTCCTAACCTTTCAAATCCACTGCCCCTTCATTAGCACACCAATGGACATATTCCCCTACCAAACAGTATCCTTTTATGGCTTCACATTTAAAGACTTTGTTTTGCCTCTCGCTACACCACCAAAGCTGCCTCAATTGTAAAATAGCAAAAGAGGAAGATTAATTATGCACACACACACACACACACACATATATATATATATATATAATTGGCAATGATATTAGAAGTAATATGATGCCAAGGAGGAGACACACAAGTAGAGATTTACTTCCATCTCTATTACATCACATTACACCACCTGAGCTGTAAGGTTCCCAGTGTGATTCCAGCATGATACTCACTTGCGATTGTAAGACGGGCTTTCTGGCTCAGAATTGATCCATACTTGTTCTGAGCAAGGCACTGATACGACCCTTCATCTGATTTGTCTGCTCGTCTGCTCTCCACCTCGGAAATAAAAAGGGAGCCGTTGGAGAGAAGATACACCCGTTCATTCTCCATCACCTTAACTCCATTTTTCAGCCATCTGACGTCTATGGGTGCCTCGCCATGCGCCTGGCAGTCCAAAATAACAGCTTCTTTCCGCATGACCGTGACATCATGGGGCTCCTTGATGAAAAATAACTCACTAAAACATAAAACACCTGCAGAAAAAGAGGGTAAAACAAAGGAAGTTATCAGAATGGGGCCTTCTGTCAGGGCACAAAAGCAGGGCACTGTCAGGAGCCCAATAAATATTTTAAAGCATTTACACAGAAGTGGCTTAAAAAGATTTAAAAGGCAAGGGTTAAAGCGGTCTGTGTGCTTTTCTCTCTAGAAGTGGCACTTATTAGAGACTGCTGCTGGAAATTCCTGTGGATACATGTCATCAATGCACAGGGTGATGGTTAAATTCATGAGTGCCACAGATTAGAATGCTCTTGTAAGGTCAACTAATACATTTGACAGGCCTAGAGTTGCTCCAGCAGGTCTACTGTCCCCAACAGTAATTCCTCTACAGCTCCATAAAGACTTTCTGCTTCACGTTAATCCACTTACTTATACCTCATAAAGCCACAGGATGAAATTCAAGACCAAATTAGTCCCTGTGGTTTACACAAAAAACCCTGAACCCTGAAGCTCAGCAAGAATGACCAAAAGTTCATTAAAGCCATCAAACGCCTGGGTCATTAGGCACTGTCTGATTTCTTTGATGTTTTAATGACCAATTACCAGATAAATTAAATGGCAACAAAATGGAGGGGTTGTTTTTTGCTTCCACTTTAACTTAATGATGATGATACAAACACAAACCATTCTATTATACCCATTAACAGCCTGATGTAATGTCTCCAAGTTTAATGACAGTTGTTGATGTGGTCTAAACTCACACTTATTTATCATAAGTAATATGTTTACAAACTATTTTTATTTACTAATGTTTGCTAATGTTATTGGTTGACAATGTTTTTTCAGAAGATAAGAATATAAATAATAAAAGCAGCTTTGAGCAATTTTTAGTCGCTTAGTTATTAACTTGTCGACTGAAAGTTGTGGTTAAAGTCAGTCTATATAAGTCCCACAACTGCTGAATTGTATCCTATCAAAAACCCAAAGAAGATACAATTATACTAAACATATTTAGCATTTAATGTTCAATGGTTCTTTATTTGTAATTGTATTTGCATACAACGAACTTTTTGTTGCAGTCCGAGCCAAAGAGCAACAACAGAGATCATTTAAAACTCAAAAGGACTACAGCTTAATTCATTACTTTTAATATACAAACTCAGTTGAGGGACGTAAAAGTTACTTCAGAAATTTAAAAACAGCCGTTACAACCCATAACAAATGTATTACATACACACGTTTGGGCATGTCTAATCTAATGTCCACGTTTTTTTTTTTTAAATTTTACTACGACCTGAAATATTTAAAACATATATACACGGGGATTTTTATTAGCCATTTCTGTGCATTTGCGCGACAGACAAGCCTAAAAATGCGTCCTGACAGAGACAGCCTCACGAACCCAGGATCCGAGTTGGTTCTAAGTTCAGTCTCTAAAGAAATGCCAGTTACGAGAGAGAGAGAGAGAGAGAGAGAGATAGAGAGTTCTTACCTGAGAGTGGGAGAAAAACCGTGATGAGCAGCAGACGCTGGTGTGATTTCATCTTCACATAAACCATTTACATGAGTTTAAATGTTTTCAATTGTCCGTGCAGCATGCTAGCAGGTACTCTCTCTCATGGTTGTTTCCTTCTGGTGAGCTAGGCTACGACTGACTGACCACTGACCACACAGAGTCACAGAGAGAGAAAGAGAGAGAGAGAGAGAGAACGAGAGAGAGAGAGAGAGAGTTTCCCTCCTCTGGGACGCTAGGATGGTCACTCACTCGATCACTATGGAAAAAACTCCAACAAAGCGCCCTCTGGCGGTACGTTTCACATAGAACAGGAATCAAACCGCTTATTGATTCTGCTTTACATTTATCCTTATGTTGGACTATAAGTTTAAATTAAATGACAGAAAATAGAATAGAATAGAATTTTTTCTTGCTGTTTCGACTATCGTTATTACAACTTAGTATTTACTTTGTGGGGCCAACTTTCAATTGGCCCCACAACTTTCAATACTGCCAAAGCGTAATGGTAATTTAACTATGTTGCTGCATTTATGTATATCTTTACATTAATTTGTCGATTTTTCCTTAGCCATTTGTAGATTGGACGACACAGTGTGAGAGTGGTTAGAGCTTTTGCATTTAAACAAGAATTGTCTTTTTTTATTATGGTTTTTCTAGTTATCAAGTACTTTTCTGTTAAATGTGGGCCTGACAACAAAACCCCAGCTGATCTATAGTGAATGCCTTGTAGGTCTTGTAACACAGGTAATGGAGCACTCTGATACTGTCACCTTACATGCAGTACCAAGAACCTTTCGCTTTTTCTTATCAATACAACTGAAGCTGTATTGATGAGGGCAGAGCCCTCAATATCAGGGACTAACTGCACAACAGCCGTCTCTACAGACCCTGTGAGAAGAAAAAGATGTAAATGTAAATGAGTTTGTCTCTTGTTTTTAAAGAGAGGGCTCTGCAATTACAAGGAAGCATTGATAGGAATAAGACAGCTGCCGTGTCAATGTCGATATTGATCTGATGTCCATCACCCACTGTGGAGAAAGCTCAACCCCCACACCTTTATTCAGCAGCCTGACCAGAACCCAGCTGTGATCAAATATGTGAAAAGCTTCTAAGGGCACTGAGAAATCTTCACGAGTGTTGATAAAATCAGAATAATTATGATGTTTTTCTTGGGTTACCTTTGTGTCTTTAACTATAGGTTAAAGATGAGATAAGTGACATTAGCATTTATTCACTCTTCAAGTTGTGTAAGGAATAAAACAGTTATGAGTCATCTCACAAACCCATCGATGAAATACAGTATATACAGTACACTGCATATATTATTAGGTGGTGTAAACCAGTGTTCCACAAACACAAACCAAGTCAATAGACATTATTCGTAAACTCCTGGTAAAACATGATGCGAGATGACCCAGTTTTTGGGAAACATGGAAACATTTACTAGCCTATTTTGTTGGTGCATTCAATTTACAGTAACTGTACTACATAATGTAAAGAGTGACCACAGGCTCAGATTAGACTCCATCCCATCTCCCTTCTGCAATACTAGAAACTAAGAGCCTGACCTCATTTATGCCCAGCAAACCTCTCCCCGTGAGAAACTAAGAGCCTGGCCTCATTTATGCCCAGCAAACCTCTCCCCAGGGTGTTTAATTAATCAAGAATTCAGTATTGGCAGCTGCCAATATGGGACAGTTGGTGGGTGGGGGTGATGGTCAGCGGGCATGTGAACTCAGGTCAAGCTTTAAGGCCAGATCAATGTAGTAAAAGTCATTATCAGGTTATGAATGTTGGTAAGGCTGTGCGTAAAGGGGAGCCAACTTTTCAAAGGAGCCCTGCCATTGGCCGATGCCCGCCCCTTCCTGTTTCCACATATGCCCACCCCCTATGACCCCACCAGTGTCCAAAAGGCCGGTTTGAATTGTGTGTGACCTTTCCCCTGACCTGCATGGACAGAAGGGGGATCTAGAGTCACACAACGGGGGAAGCTTTAGAAATGAGGACTGTGGCCATTCATCTGAAATGTACACAGAGCTCTAACTGCAAAGATAGTGATAGGTCTTTTCCACATGTGGCCATGTTAAAAGCCTGGAGAATTTTTTTAGTAAGTATAGGATTTACTCTAGGTTAGAGGGCACAAAAGAGCCTGGCCATGTAACTACAACCACCATCACCTGCAACATTAATTCTACATCAACTGCACATGTCAGTGAGTGATTAGAGATTCAGGACTGCTTAATACGTCCTACTAACACTTAATATGTACTATGGTTTTTGTCTGATGATATCTGATAGTTGACATGCCAATTGCATGTCAGTTCTACTGTTGGTGTTGAGGATTTAGCTACAGCAGTGGTAATGTGTTGGAGTATTTCTTACCTCATATATTAAATACAACAATCATTAACGAACTGGTTGCAGTTTACCTTGTGGGAAGTCCTACCAGTAACATTATTTAGCACCTCCTGCTGGATGACTTCAATACTACTTAGATCTACATCGGCTCCACGTTACACACAAAAGGGAGTTTGATCTAATATAATGAGTGTTTATTACTAATTTATCACGTTAAAGCTCACACATACACAATTTTTGTATTTAGTTTTGAGTGATATCATGTTGAATAAAATAAATATATGAGAAAGTAAACAGTAAAGACAATAAAATATTTTAAAAACAGCTTTATTATATTCATATTCCAATGGGTGTGATAGTTCATTTTACAGCTTCACATTTAATTGCTGAAAATATATTGTTGTTGTTACTTTTGTTGCACCAATATCCATTAGTATTAAATTCTTTAACACCAAATTTCATATCAAGTGTTGATCTGTTCAGCATTCATCTGTATACAGAACCACAGACATAACAGTACTTCATCGATCAGATTCAACAAGGTAATACAAATGAAGGCCTCAGATTTTCAAATTCATAAAAGACATACAGGAGATAATGTGCTTATTTTCAGCAATGCTCACATGTAAACATAGATATATGTGCACTTGAAGCAAATGATCACAACTTTAAAGAGTGGTTAAAGCAGTCTGCGGGTGACACGGGCCAAGATTCGATTGTAGAAGTAAGACTCTTGGATTGGAACAAAGTGCTTCAAAGTATAAAAACCTTAAGTATAAAACTGTGCTGTCAGTGACAACAGCCCAAGTTTGTGTTTTTCTTTAAACCACCCGTAAACAAGGCAGGCAGTGAAAACACACTTTACCATTCAGAAAAATTGTTTTCCTTACAAAATGATTATGCATTTTGTACACAAACTTTACACATAACAGTTGCACTCTTAAAAACAGAGCACTGGGCTGCCAGGATTAGAAAAAGAGAAAGATTTCTATAAGCAACTGCCCAGGAAAGGTAATGTGAAAAAATATATACATGAGTTTACTGCTCAAGTTTAAAGCTTATGATAGCTACATGTCATGAATGAAAACTGGTGCAGCGACAACCTCCTCTTTAAGTTTTGAGTACAATATATTCATGTAAAATCCAGACACTGAGAAATGCATCTTTAATTGTTAGTTCAATCATTGCATTTATGCACAGAGTTTCAACACCCCATGTTGTCACCCCTCATCTGTGGATTTCACAGATACAAACATTCTCCAGTTTAGACTTTCACTCTGGTCCTGGTTTTGGTGCAACACTTTTTTTTAACCCTCATCTACTTCAATACAGTGCTGTCAATCACATTTGTACAGAATCTGCACAGTTTATGAAACACAGACTTGTGAGGTGCAATGTTAAGAAATAACTGTATCAGTGTTTGTCATATAGTGGAATGAAACATATTCTATATTTAATGATAAATAAGAAATTAAACGAAAGGGGAAAAACATCTTGACACCTGTTTTATTTGGGCAAATTACCAGTTGATACTATGATTTTTTTTTGTTCAAAATCTGTGACACTTTTCAATTTAGTGAGCAGTGACTTTGGAGAGATATGTACAGGAGACTGAAACTGGTTCTTGTCACGCACATGCCCTTTTTCATCTTGACATCAACCTCCAGTGTTCAGGTAAATGTTTTTTTAGTGAAGCAGGAAGGTTTCATCGAATCTCAAAGGCCACTTAATTGAGAAACTATTATTTAAATGTCTGTGAGGCAATTTAGCCCAAATAGAACTAATGTTTACAGAGTAAGATTTTCTAATCTTTTTCACATTATATTTTTATTTTAAGAATCCTCTACAATACATGATTATATAGCAGAATAAAAAGTAACTACCCTTAAAGAAACATACATTAAAAAAAAAAATCTAATTTGTAAACATTACAACACACAAGTGAGTCTGTCCTTTCTCTTCATGTATCTGGACAGAGGATCAAACAGACAGCTGTGTGACTGACTTTCTTCACACAGTGGACAAATTAAAACCTGAGTCTGATGCTCATCTCACTTATGTCAGTAACAACACCACATGATGATGCTTGGTGGGTAATGTCAGTCCCGCATGTTAACACCAATCATATCAGTCCACCCCATCAAAGCCTTGTGCATTTTCAATGGCAATGAGAAGTTTCTCCCTCAGTTCCTCAAAAGACTCATAAGGAGGAAGGTCCAGCCGGTTAAAGCTGGAAGAAATTAAAAAAGTTAATGAGGACATTTGTTTCTGTCTTTGCACATTTCTTCTTCGGAAGTTATATACAAAGATCGAAAACAACCATAGATTGTCAAAATGTTGAGCAGATGCATAAAAGATTTCAGAGAAACAATATTTCATTAGACCGGCCTCAGACAGACAGATTGCTTGTTGTCTCACTTGATGTTTAGTATTATTTTTTAGGGAGACCTTTTCTCTAGTATTCATTATTAAAGTGTTTCTATCAGTGCAAGGGAAAAACTGTACCATTCATCAAAAGAAATCTGACTTCTTTGTTCTTTATCCTCTACCTCTAGTAAATGGGAATTACTGTTAATGTAGTTTCAAAGTGTTGGCACCAATGTCAAAGCATTTCATGGACTAACTATTTATATTTAATATATATTTAACTATCATGAACTTAAACATCAATAGTCTGAAGCAAAGCTGTGAGTTGCTATGCAAAAATGTTGAAAACAGTGAGGTTCTTACCATGTGTGGGCCCGAGGAAGTTTATCACGTGTTCCCCACTGCTCAATAGTGAACAGCTGTGGTCCATTAGACCCTGGAACATTTAATCCAAACATAAGAATGCACACAAACAACAACATTTCAAATGGAATTCAATTACAAGGGGAAAA